TTTGGCTGGAAATATTGATAAGAGCTGTCAGATGAATGCACAAGAGATGTTAGATTTTTTGAAACTAAAAGTAGAAGAAGGAGAAATTGAGATCTCAGATTTACCAAAACTATCAACTATACAAGGATGGATAACCCAATATACAGCACAGTTACATGAAAGAAGTGCCCAGATAAAACTTGGAGTTGAAATTTAAAGTTACTAATGATAAGTTTTTTTTTGTTTGATATAATAATACTAATCATTATGACTGTAATATAATTTTTCCATACCTTTCACTTTAATTTCATTTTTATTTTCATCAATAATTAATTATCCCTAATTCTCTCTGCTAATGCAAAATAATATTATAATTATTATAATTATTATAGTTATTAAAAACTAAATAGAAATAACATATTTATATTTTTCTTCGATAAAATTAATTCTACAACCATTTTTATATCATAAATTTTTTTAATTGCTTAAATCTTTATCCCAAACCTTAAATTTTATATAATAATTTTAGGCAGGAATCCAGTGATTCCTACATATAAACAATAAACTATTTTATAAGAAAGTCCCTTTGAAAATTTGTATATTTAAACTTTGAGATTCATATATTGTGATAAAAGTACAATTTTAGTTTATATCAACATAAAGGGTGGTTATGTTGGGGGTGAAAGTTGGAGTCCAGAAAATTTTAGTTAGTGATCTGCAAAATTTTGCACCAAATTCTATTATGAAAATTTTGCAGTTGTTTCACGGATCACGAATTAATATATTTTTCAAAGAATTAACTGATTTTGCTTGTTCATTGCATGGACAATCTCCAAACTTGTTAACTATGGTAGAAATAGGTTGATAAGAATGTTAGCCAAAATGGTTTTTGAAAAAATCAATTTTGGCAAGCAATTTTGGATTTACAATATTCTTTGTATCAATAGACATACAAAATCTACCCAGCCTTTTAGTATTTAATTAAAGAGTCCAAATAATTTCAGATATAATTTTGGCAACTAATAAAATTAATTTCAGCATTTATGAAAAACTATTTCACCATTATTAAGAGAGCCAACATGCTTACACTTGACTCAATTGGGTGACTTTTTGATGCAATTAATTAAGTCATATGAAAAGCATATAAGTAATTGAGTCAAGACACAATTAAAAATTGAGATTTTGGGAATTAAGCAAAGCCAAATTTGTAAAATTTTCTAAGGTTACACGATTAACAATGCATAAAATCACGTGAAAGTCACGGGGCGTGCATTTAGGGAGGGTGGTTTTATATAGTTGGGAATGAGGAAAGACTGTGCAGTGCATGTATAGAGGTGTTTGCTTATCTCTTAAGTCCCAAGCTTGGGAATGAGTGAAAGCATGTATTTAGATAGGGTATGCATTTATGGGGTGTGCATTTAGGGGGTTGACTGTAAAAATCTTAAAATACCAGTGTAGCCATTAATCAAACACCCCAATCAGATTGCAAATAAGTATCATCCACTCACAAATTGACTCATCTATTAGAAGGGTTTAGATTTCTCAGAAAACAAGATATTCACCAAAAAATTTAGTTTAAAAATATATGTTGAAGCATCTGAAAACATTTGCCCAGAAATATGTTAAAACATTGAAGCAGTAGCTGATCATATTCCTTTTTTCCAACAAATCGAGGTTTACTTGAACATAATAAAAAGCACATAACTGAGAATGCAAACCTCCCAATAAAGCTTAAACTTCAGGGACACATCCCCCCTGAAAATTTAGCAACATCATTGTATCTTCAGGGCACACTGATCAGATTAGCCTTTATACACACAAGGAAAGTGATAATGACTGTAATGTTTTAAAGTATTCAAGGTAATCTACTTCAACGTTTGTAAATTTCCCAATATCAAATCATCTAGGAGTAGTTGTCCCTCCCATCTTTAACAGTCATGTTGCTTTTCTTTATCTTTGACACATTCTTATAATAATTATACACTTAATATTAATATTAATAATAATTATGAAAACAGTTATACCAATCATTTATTATCTTGATAAGAATCTTGTAATATTTACCTAAAAATGTGACCCATTCTACTCCATGTCTTGATTTAATAATTATATTTATAAAATAAAAAGACATAACACAAAAAAAATTTTGTACCTCTGGCTATTAATAAATAATACATTTCTTCAGGAGAACCAGCCATTTCAAACATTCATCTTGGACTGACTCATTGTCTAAAAATTTTTTTGTTTTATGGGTCACAAGGAAAGGACAGGGTATATACAGGTAATTGTGGCTAATGCCTATCCCCTGTCCTTGTTTTATCAGTTAATCAATTAATTTTTTATTTTTTTTTTGCCAATTAATTTTAAAAAATAATGTCTCTTCAGAAGTGCAACAAAAGAGAAAAGGTGAATTTGTTGTTGGAGGAAACAAGTAAATATTATTTATCAATGTCTCCAGATCATGTGTATCCTTATTGTGTTCAAAGTATACATGCAGCCCAAAGTCATAAAGGGGTTACACATGTAGTAAAGGGGTGTTACACTTGTGTTTTAAATAGTGAGTGCTGTAATTAATTTCTACTTTCTACCATCAAAATTGGAATAATTTTGACCATTGAAATCACCAAACCAATTTGGGCTACATGTATAAGTTCAAAGGCATCGATGTCTCTGGCTCATGTGTATCATTATTGTGTTCGGAGGCATAAATACCTCCAGCTCATGTGTATCATTATTGTGCTCAAAGACATCAATGTTTCTGGCTCATGTGTATCATTATTGTGTTTGAAGACATCAATGTCTCTGGCTTACACATATCCTTATTGTGTTCAAAGATATCAATGTCTCCAGCTCACACATATCCTTATTGTATTCAAAGACATCAATGTCTCCAGCTTACATATATCCTTAGTGAATTCAAAGACATCAATGTCTCCAGTTTACATATATCCTTAGTGAATTCAGACATTAATGTCTTCAGCTTACATATATCCTAATTGTACTCAAAGACATCAATGTCTTCAGCTTACATATATTTTTATACTACTTGAAGACATTAGTGTCTCCAGCTTGTGTATATTTTTATACTATTTGAAGACATAAATGTCTCTGGCTCCTTTATTTATTATATATTAATTAATTACCAGTGATCTGCATATAAGGATATCCCTCATACAGTTCACTCTCTCTATAATAATAACAGATCATTTGTCTAGGGAAAAAAAGATCCGTTATAGAGAGAATCCAGTAGAGAATTTTGTTGATCATCACATGATTAAGTTAACGAATAAAAAAAAATTTATTATTATTATGATTATGAAAAAATAATTATTCAATATTAATGTTCAAAAAACTATCTAATGTAGATTGTTTTCTTGAATTAAATTCTACTTTTTTGATTTTCTTTTTAATGGTTTTAACAATTTCAATTAGTGTTCAATGTCACAATCCAAAAAAGGAAACAAAATGGTTGTAAAGGTGGTTGCAACTAGCGGTTGCAATCATTTTTATATGATGCAAAGATGGTAGCAACCATCATCAAAAGTTGCAGCTGGTATCCTTAATTTCAATTCATCATTTGTAAATTTCTTAAATTAATTGCTGTTCAACAAATAAATTTACATTTTAAATAAATAATAAAACAGAATAGATAATGAATAAATCAATTTGATATGAATTAGGTTTGATTAATGAATAATTTAAAAATTGAATTAATACAAAAATCAGGATCGATTTATATAAAAAAAATTGCTTAATTTCACGGTGTAATTCAACACCACAATGACGTGTAACATGACGTCTGATTTATAATTCATTTACACGTAAAATAATCAATTTTTGATTTCTTTATTAATTAACAATTATGAGATTATTTGAAATTTGTATAGTGATCATGACTATGATTTAAGATCTGCATTTTGTTTTGAAATCACGTGAATCCGGTATAGGTGCTGTCTGTTATACAGTACATTATTATTATATAAAATTTAACTAATAAAATCCGCTATAGAAAGAAGTTTTAAATAGTAAAAAATTGGGACAGAATTTTTTGTCCGCTATTATTATAGAGAAAAATCCGTTATAGAGAGTGTAATAGTAATAGTAAACTGTATGTAATTTTTAAAGGTAAAGCTGTATCCCTATGTTCACAGGGATACAGGTGTAACCTTTCGGAAATTGTCCGCATGTGGTGATTAAATTACATCGGAAATTCTAATGACTACTATACTAATAGGCAGACATATTATATTTAAAAACAGAAAAAAATAGAAAGTAACTTACTTAATAAATATGACGCCTGAAATAACCATAAAACATGAGGCAGAAAAATTGGTACCTGCCTATTTCCATTTCCTAAAATTTAAATTTATAATAATTATACTAATTATGAAGTTTACATGTTAATTAGCTTAAATTACATCCCAACTTGGATCTTGATCCAAATTCCTCATTTCAAGGAATGCAGAAATACGATCCAACAAAGGATAATGTAGACAAGCCACCTAGACATCGCAAATTAAAAAGAAAACCATATCGATTGAATTCATATGAATTGGAGCAAGAAGCTCTAGAAAAAGCAAAATATGATAAATTGAAATTCATGAAAAACGATGAGGCTTGTTTATTTTCTCAATTTTTTCTTGCATATCCATATATATTAACGAGACTTACACCTAACACGTTCAATCTATCTAACATATATGTTAATAGTCGAATGCATCTAAAAAAATTAAAACTATACATTCACAAATACCATTTATTCGTAATAATAGAAATAATTCAATAAATGACCGACTTCTTCTTCTTAACATTAATAAAGGAAAAGGTCAGATAAAATTTTTATTTTTATTTGAAAATTAAATACATATATATCTAATTATTTATATATTTAAATAGGGAAACCTAATTCTAATTCTAACAAGAAAGTAACTAAAAATTTATTTAGGAATATTAGGTTTATTAGAGATTACACTGATCCAATTGGTATGTCTTTTATATATATTCTTATTTATTTATTTTTCAAAAAGCAAATATATATAATATATACATACTTTATACATGTGTATTCATATATGAATAGATAATAAGACATACAAATTATATACTATTGCTTGTTTCTATGAAGAACCTGGTAAAAATAAATACGAAGTTATTATCTATAATTGTAGTGAAAAAGAATTTTCTGACGATGGTAAAAGAGCATTACTTGATGATAAAAAATTTTTGATAAAATTACATGAATCGAAAGCAATAATTAAGTAAGTGGATTAATCGATAAAAAATTTTACAATCATAACTTTTATTTCTTTTCTTATTTATTCTCTAATAATAACATTATTATTATTAGACAAATGTTTGAAAGTAAAGATGTTTTTGGAAATTTTTTGAATCCCTTGGTTCTGTTATTGGCTCTTAATAACAAAATAGAATATGATTCAGATCCAACTCATGGAATTTCTCAGAAAGATATTAACGATTTGTGTAAAGAGCTTCATAGTTACCGAAAACAAATTGATACTAATATTAATACATCGAACCCATTTCAATTGGCTGATCATTTTGCTGACCAAACAAAACGTGAACAACAAAAAAAGTTGGAGTTGCAATTCCAATATAAACAATTACAAGAACAGTTGTTGCGGGAACAAAGGCAACATCAATTGCTACAACTACAACAACAACAAAGGTTGCAACAGCTACCACAACAACAACCACAGCAATCGCCTCAATTACAGCAATCGCCTCAGTTACAACAATCGCCTCAATTAATACAATCACCTCAATTAATACAATCACCCCAATTAATACAATCACCCCAATTACAACAAACATCTCAATTACAACAACGACAATTACAACAACAGCAAAGACAACAACAGTTACAGCAAACGCCCCAATTACAACCACAACAAACGCCCCAATCGCAACAAATGCAATTACAGCAGCAAATACAATCGCACCAACAGCAGTTACAGCAGTTAAAACGACAACTATCTCAATCAGACAATTCAACAATGGCATTGAAAAATTCTTCTGAAAAACCAAAAACCCAACATTTATATTATAGTGACGATAAGGGTAATAATCATGACATTATATATATTTCAGACATTCTTGATATTATTGAAAAGAAAAAATATATAGCGAAATTAAATAATCAGGGCAATTCCGTGAATAATATGATTAATGTTAATAATAATAATAACAATAATATCACCATCAATAATAATAATAGTCTTAACAACTTACCAAATAATTTTCCAAATACTATTAACAACACTATTAACAACACTATTAACAACACTATTAACAACACTATTAACAACACTATTATTAACAACACCATTAGCAGTAACAATCCTGGCAATTACTTACCAACAAATATAACACCAACTAACATACAACAACAAAACATTATTCCTATCATGAACATAACTACAAATCAACGTCCACCTATAGCTGGGATGCAACAAAATGCTGTTCCTATTACAAACATGGCTGCAAATCAACATCCTTCAGTGACTTCCATACAACAAAATGTAAATCAACGTCCTAACATAGCTGCCATACAACAAAATGCTACCATGAACGTAGCTACAAATCAACGTCCTCCTATAACTTATGTTCAACGTGGTGGTGCGGTGGGAAATAGCATAACACAAAATCAACTTGCTGCAATTTTAAATCGACGAATTCAAATTCAATATCAACTGCAATTACAACAACAGCAGCAGCAGCAGCAGCAGCAGCATCAGCAACAACTTCAATTACAACAACTTCAATTACGACAACAACAACAACAACAACAACGACAATTACAACAGCAACAGCAGCAGCAGCAGCATATACAGCAACAGCATCTACAACATCTACAGCAGCAACATCTACAGCAGCAGCAAATACAACAGCAGCAGTTACAACAACAGCAAATACAACAGCAGCAGTTACAACAGCAACATTTACAAAACCAGCAACAATAATGCCAATGATAATAATATCAAAAACTTCTTAATATTATTTTAGTTTTCTTAAAATAATATTGTTCAAGCAAGGACTTGATAAATTTATTATTATTTTGTACACGTATATTGTTTATTTTAGAATCTTTGATAAATTATTAGCTGATGTATTTCATAAATATCATTAACCCTGTAAATTAGTTAATTATTTATTTTTAATATAGTTTTATTTATAAGCGAGAAAAAATACTAATTTTTTAATTATTATTCAAAAATTTTTTTATATTTGTTATATAATTTTTTCTTTCACATAATAAGCAAATAAACAAATAATATTTTACCACTATAAAAATTCAAATTAAGAATTTTTAACGTATTAAAAGAAATCAATAACAATAATAAAAAAACAAAGAGAGAGAAATAAGGGTTAGTCTTAAATTTAAAATGGTAGAAGAATGAATATTTGAAGTATGAAAATTGAAACTCAAAGAAAGCCTTGTGTTTATAACCGTAGAATTAATCTGATGAATACAAAGAGAAATGTGAATTTCAATTTTATGCAGTAATATAATAAATGAAAAAAAGGATTTGATTAATAATCAACGATTAACTAGGGTTTTTTTTGTTTCTGCAAAAAAAAGCCAATGATGATTGTGAGGAAGAGGATGTGAGTGTGAAGTGTATAATATATCTTGTAATAATCGCAAGTGATAAATAAGCACTAATACTAATATCAATCTTCTAATATATTGTATTCTATAGAAAATAATAAAGTGAAAATAAAAAAAAATGAAAAAACTTAACTAAAAAAATATATCCTAATCTATATTTTTATATATATTGTTTTTTTTTATATAAATTTAAATTTAATTAAATTTTTTAAAACCTTAAATTGATTGATAATTATGATAATAATTATTTTATTATATTTTCTTTCATATTAAAGTCTTTTCATACTTCTTTTTTTATCAGCTTGTTTCTTATCTAATTTCTTATCACTAGATGCAACTCGTTTCTTTGGTGTTATATTTGAGAGATTTGAATTATCGGATGAGATAGAAGCTGTAGGATTCTTCTTTATGCTTAAGTGAGATGTTGTTGATTCGTTGATTGATTGAGATGGAGCTAGTGGAGTTGTGATCATCGTCATGTTATTGTTGTTGTTGTTAGTGTTGTTATTAGTGTTTATTGTCATTTTAGTTTGTGCCATATTTGTAGTAGTAGGGGTAGGGGTAGTAGTAGTAGTAGTTGATATGGTAGTAGATGATGGTAATGATGATGACGATGATGATGAGATAAATTTCTTTGGTAGTGGAGATGAAAGTGAGGGTGAAGATGAAGATGAATTTGTTATAGTTATTGTTGATGTAGATGATGATGATGATATGGCGGAAGTTATCATAGTATTACTAATAGATGTGATAGGATTAGTGGTTGTTGTAGTAGCATTACTATTATTATTGTTATTATTGCTAATATTGCTACTACTAAAATTGTTTGGTATAGTACCATTACTGCTATTATTGTTGTTATGGCTATTATTATTATGACTATTACTGTTATGATTATTGCTGTTGCGACTATTACTGTTATGATTATTGTTTGTAAAAAATTCCGATATTTTGTTTTGAGCATGAATTTTTGTCATCATAATAGCATATTTAGCGTATTCCTCATATTCCTCTAAAAGTAATTTACCAGCTTCTTCGTTAAGTGCAGATTCTGGATTAGGAAAAATCAAGAGACATTTTACAGTCTTCATATATATATATATGAAAGGAATAAATGTCAATATTAATAATCATTCATGAATAATTATAATTGATATAATTAATGAATAATGAATAATAAATATCAATAATAAGTCAAGACCTAAATATTATATACAAGTATAATCTTATAATTATTATTTATTAATTACCAAAAAAATTCTCTCAATTCCAAAGTCTTTATTCCAATCTTTTTTTAGGGTATTTACACAAACTTCACCAGATTTTGATACATTTGGGTGAAAGATTTTGGTCATGAAGTAGCCTGTTGATTCGATGTTCATATTGATATATGATGTTATTAATATATTGAAAAACACATGTATTAGTAGTAGTAATAATTAGTAAATTATTACTTTTTCAAGAATTCGTATTAATTAAATTAAATTATATAATTAAAATCATATAATTAATTAAATAATCGATTGATTGATTGATCGATCGATCGATTGATTAATTAGTTTGCTAATTACATTTTGGAGGTACTGATGGAAAATCAGTTCCTAGTACCACTTTGATCTTAAACATTCCTCCTTCATATGGTGTTCCCTCTGCATATATAATTTAAAAAAGAAAAGTAAAAGATCAATATCATCATCATTTTATAAAAAGATCATTTGAAATTAAAGTAATTAGTTAACCGACCAGGTCCTAATATCCAGGCTTGAATATCACAAACATCTAGTTCATTGACAATAACTCTAATTCCTTCTGGAGGCTGTGCAACAAGAATATTTAATTCTTTTGATATTCTTTTGATAATAGCTGGTGAAATGTTTTCGATAGCTGACTATAATTATAAATAAAGAGAGAAACAGACAGAGAGAGACAAAGAAAAAGTACAGAGAGAAATACACGTACATATATACAGTTATAGATACAATGTAATAAGTTATATATTTAAAGAACAAGAGCAAAATTTTAAAAAGATAAATATATGGAAATAGAAATAGAAATTACCATATTTATAGCGTCTATTTAAATTTTTTTAGATTTTGTTTTAAATTATTAAATATATATATATTCTATGTTGTTGTTTTTAATTTTTAATTTTTTTTTTTTTAAAAATAAACCTCTTTCACGTGATTACATCAAATAATGGCAAATCCGGAAATGATTTTCAAGGGTTAAAATATCACTGTATGTATAAAATTAGGACCTCGGACAATCATATTAGGCATTACATTTAAGGTTGCTTCCTTAACGACTGCTGAAACTTTGCTGAAACTCTAATGAATAATTGGCGTGTAACCTGCTGAAACTCTGCCAATTGTCGAAACCCCCAAATGTGAAACTCTGCTGAAACAATTATTGTACAGTGCGGATCATCTATATATACTCAAAAGTTAAAAAATTTGAAATAATGTCAGATTTTTTAAAAACCACCACAGCTTTAAAAAGGGAGTAAATTCATGTAAAGTAAAAAATTTGTTTCAAATTTTCTTTTCATAGATTTTTTTAAATTCGAGAGTAATGTCCAAATGCAATAATAGTTTTCGTGTTACAAATTTTGAATGTTCATTAACTTTTTTATTGTAAAGAACTTTTATCTATTAATAAAAAAAGGAAATAAATAATACAAATAATAATAAAACAATATATTGATATTGTCCAAGACCATTCTATACGGCAACAAATAAAATGTTTAGAACAAAAACACCTCCATTACTTTATCACACTTGTTGATTTGTCCCCTTACTGTCATTAAGTTTAATAAGTTTAATCTTTGACAAATATTGTTAGCTTCTTCCACCTTTAAAATAAAAAAGTACTAAAATAATTTATATACTTAATTTAAGAGCAAATAAAAAAAAATAAATATGGTAAACACAATAAATGAACTCCAAGAGAGAAATAAACAACTATTAGGAGAAGTAGAAAAGTTAAAAGCACCTTTACAATTTAAACAGTTGAATAATGAAGAAATTGGAGCATGAATAGCTACTATTTAAGTGAAAGTCATTATACTTACAATCCTAATGTAGATGTGGTTGGTGAAATTATGAGTTTATTGTGACCAAGAAAAGTGGTCTAATTTTTGTAAATTATATCCTACTGAACCAGCTTGCAGGAATTTAGTTCTCAATACTTATCAAGATTATTCTTATTATAAGCAATCAAGTGTTCATTGACAGGTAAGGAATAAGTTTAAAAGAGATATCTTTATTAACCTTATTAAATTAAATTCTGAAGAAAGTAAAGAGCTATTTCAAAAGTGGTTGAAAAAAGGCAAAATAGAAGATAATTCAACTCTAAAAGGAATATTGGAAAAAGGATATGAAGGATGAGATTCAATCAAACTAAATTGTTATAATTATTATGGCCTTAGAAATCTTTCTCTTGATGAGTTAGTCAATAGTTTGAATGAATTAACTTTTAAAACTAAGGAAAATTTTGACAAAGTGGCTAAACAAAATCAAGAATATGAAGAAAAGATTAAAGAGTTAGAGGCTGAGTTAGAAAAACAAGATGAAAGAATAGAGGAATTGGGAGAAAGGGTAGAAATAGAACAGGAACAAGTTAAGGAAGTCATAGCAGTTGGTGAAAAATGAAGCAAAAATCAAGCAGAAGACATAAAAGAGAAAAACCAAAAATTAGAAATTTCTAGTAAGATAATTAATAAGTTAGAGCAAGAACTAGTTCAAGAAAGGGAAAAGGCAGAAACATCTAATAAGTCAATTTCAGAAAAAGATTTGCAAAACAAAAACCTTACAAAAGAAAACAAAAAGTTGCAAAACCAATTACATTTATTTGAAAAGGATTTACCTGCTTTACCTAAAAAACAAAGTAAATTTAAGTTATTTAAGGAAAAAACAAAAACTAAATTCAATCAATTGATAGAGAACAAAAAACACCAAATCCAAGAGTTAGTTGCTAGAATAGAAGTAAACAGATAATTAATGAGAGTTAACTTACATGCTTTTAGATTTAGAAAAAGCAAGTCGAAAAACTTGTGATTTTTGTTCTAATCTTTATGGAGAGGATAATAAGTCTGTTAATCAAATAGTAGCTTGTATTAAAACAAATGGTAAATATGTTGCAGATGATGTAGTTTGTGAGAGCTGTAAGGAAAAGTTTGAAAATGATGAACTAGAAAAATGTGAGAAATGTGGCAGATTACAAACTAGACATTACCTTGATGTTCTTAGTGGCAAATATATTTGTTTTTGTGTCAAATATGAAGAAGATATGGAAGAAAAAGAACCTCCTCTCTTGCCTCATGAAGAAATAAGTCAATCTACTTTCTACAAACAGCAAATAAACTCTCTGAAAAAAACAACTAAACAAGACTGAAGAAACCTTAGAAATTGAAAGGGAAGAAGTAATCAAATTTCAAGAAAAGTCTGAGGAATGAGGTAAGAGGCAAAAGCAATTGGAGACTGAACTAGAAAGATTAAAAAAATTAACCCCTAAAGAACTATATAGTTGATAAATTAAGTGTTAAAGAAAAGGAAATCAATGATTTAAAAGTTCAATTAACCCAATTGCAACAACAGAATGGTCAAATTGCTCAAATTGAAGTTAAAGAGACTAAAAGATGATCTTGATTGAAAATGAGAAAGTAGTTTCTGTATAAATTGAAATTCACTCCAACTATCAAAGAAAATGGTAGTTATTTTCCTTTTAAGGATTTCTGCTTTTTGTTAGGTAATAGCATACTTTCATTCTGCTTTCTTTTTCTAACATTTATTATTTTTCTTTCTTCTTGGTAAATTTCATAAGTAATCCTTTCTTTTCTTAGATAAGCTTCCATTGTTTGAGTATCATTTATTTTGAAAATATAGGGTGCAATTTTTTCGCCTTGTTCCTTTTTTAAAATACTTTTGATAGTACTATAATTCTTGGGTTCCATAGTAGATCTGATGTAAATTAATTTCATATTAACTATTTTATATAGGGACAGTTCTATACATCACTTAATGAATGGGGCATTATAAACTAATTGTGATGATAATAACTAAATTTTGATCCCTGTAATTTTTGGTAATACCAATGTTCACTTTGTCTGGTTTTGTTGCAGTATGCCCCATATAAAGATGAACCACAATTCAATTTTCATATGCCACAACCACAACCATAATTCTATTCTTATATACTGTACTGTAATTAGCTGCGGCGAGTTGCAAGTAATAGAGATTTATTGGTAAATAGTCATATATATGTGTTTGTTTATATTACATATGTGTGTAACTTGACATAAAGAACTTTTACATGGATATAATTAAATTTAAAAAGAAATTTATGACAATAAAGTTTATGATGTTGTAAAAAAATTTTTTTTTAATATTAATATTGATGAACTTCTCCTTGTCCAGAATTCATTTTTTTATAATTAATACGAAAATATAGAAGCTTTACTGTAGAGAGAGTGTGTGTGGAACTTTGTACCGTCCAAAACCAAAATAGTGAAGAATTTTCAAATTACAGATCAGCAAACGAATTTCTATTATAAATTGATCTAATTTTTTTTTACTCTTGCATATTAATAAAAAATTTTTTATCAAGAAATTTTTTACGGACAAAATGGCAGATATTAAAGATATTTCCAGTAAACAAATTTTGAATTGATTTTTATTATTATTTAATCGTATTTATTTTCGAGAAAGTGATTCATTACTATTTTTCTATTCTTCATAAATTACTTGTTGAAAATTGTTTTTTATAAATTTATTTATTATAAATTACTTTGTGATTGAAGGACACAAAAAAAAAAAAATGCAGCTGAAACATTTAGTCAATAATATGGTCAATTACCAATCATCAATATCGACGCTTGATAAAAGTTAGAATGGGTATGTAAATAATTTGAATCCAGAGGCAAGTATTAAAATTTTATTACGAATTATATATAAAAATGACAATGATTAGAAAATGGTTTTGCACCACTCTTAGACTGTATCATGGTCAATGAAGTTAAACATCACCTTTCATTCTTCAAAAATGAGCCAATATATATATATATGTATATAAAATAATAATAATATTATTATTCTAATTAATCACCCCTTTACATTATTTCTTTTCTTCTAAATATTAGATACAAATCCAGAATTATAAGCCTCTTGAAGCTATTTCTATTGATCATTTGCCATGTTCATCTTGATTAATAGAAAGGAAGAATATTTAGAGCTTTGGAATTTGCACAAGATGAATTGGCATCTCTTGAAGAAGAAAATGCAAGTCACAATTTTAACAACATATATAAATATAATATGTTGTAACTCATATTTATACATATCCAAAAAAATTATAACAATATAAGTCTGATTTTATTGAACTCGAGAGATCAATGGTACTATTAGCATTGATGATACATTCATATCTCCTGTAGGAGATTTATTTCGTACATCACAATATTTATGTACAGCCGGTGAACAAATGCTGGAACTTTAACTTCACAAAGATCCAAAATTACCATATTAATATTTGGTTTGGGTTCAAATGAATAGATGAAAAATTAACATATCCTAAAATGAAAATTTAACAATTGCTAAATTAATCAAAATTGATAATAACAGCGACATAATAATAAAATTTCTTTTATCAAACTAAATTCTACCAATAATAATGTGCTTTCCCTTTTTTAAATAAATTGTATTACATTAATAAAATTTAAAAATTTTATAAAAAAAAAATGTCCAATTCACCAAAAAAAAGAAAAGCCGATGAATCTTTAGAATTAGATTTAGAGGACGACGATTATGTACCGTATGTTCCTATTAAGCAAAGACGTGAAGCAAAGCTTCAAAAACTTGCTAGCCAAAGACGCATTCCAGAGCCACAAAAGGATAAAGAGGTTGAAGAGGAAGAGGAAGATTCACATAAAGCTGGTCCTAAAGCTAATATCAGTCTTATAGATCAAGCAGTTGAAGTTAAAAAACAAAAACGAATAGAAGGTTAATGATGATAACATCATAAAACAAGTGTTTATTTATTTATTTTGTTTAACATTCCATTATTATTTTTATTTTATAAATATAGATGCTTTCAAAACTGACGCAGAAAAGAAATTAGAGGAAGAAAAGGCAATTATGGAAGCTGTTACTCAGAAAAAGCTTTTGGCATCAGATCGTGAACTTGCCAAAGGAATAATTTATACAGAACCTATGAAGACATCGTATGTTTTATTTTGTTAGAGAAACTAAAGCTTGTTCGTTCATTAATTGATTATAATATTCATTGACATCATCATCGTTGTTATTATTTTGGTAGATGGAGACCACCTAGGCATATCAGAGAAAGGTCACAAAGCGAGCACGAAGATATTCAACAAAGATATCATATTTTTGTTGAAGGTGAAGATGTTCCTCCACCAATTAAACATTTTAGGGTATGTGGCTTTAAAAAATTTTATTTTTTACAATTGTATATTTTGATTTACTGATCTTGTAACAGGATATGAAATTTCCTTCTGCTATATTAAAATATTTAAAATCTAAAGGTATTAACAGACCAACACCAATTCAGGTTCAAGGCCTTCCAGTTGTGTAAGTTTTTTTTTTAATTCAAAAAAAATTTTTTTTTTTTTTAGAGATTAAATTTATATATTTTTTTTAGATTATCTGGAAGAGATATGATTGGAATCGCGTTTACTGGATCTGGTAAAACCTTGGCTTTTTCGCTTCCATTAATTATGCTTGCATTGGAAGATGAAATGAAACTTCCATATACTAGAGGTGAAGGTCCTACAGGGATGATAATATGTCCATCAGTAAGTCCTTTTTAAAGTTTGAATATTTATTTTTTTCTTTTAACAAAAACAACAAATTTTGGAAATAACCCATTTAATAAATAGCGTGAATTGGCAAGGCAAACATTTGAAGGAATATGTTCCATGATTGAATTTTTGGCAAATAATGGTTTTGCAAAGTTACGTACATTATTATGTATTGGTGGAATCTCAATGTCAGATCAACAATATACATTATCCGAAGGAATTCATATAGTGGTTGCTACACCCGGAAGATTAAAAGATATGTTGGAAAAAAAGAAATTCAATTTAAACATTTGCAAGTAAGTTATTTACGGTAATATTATATTTATATATATGATTATGATTATTTGATTTTATTTATATTGAAAAACGTGAAATATCAGATATTTGTGTTTGGATGAAGCTGATCGTATGATTGACATGGGGTTTGAGGATGATGTTAGATTAATAATGTCATACTTTACAGTAAGTTATTTTTATTATCCTTTTTAAATTTTGAGTTTTATTCATACAACAAAATAATAGATGTATTTATATATCTTAGAGCCAACGACAAACTTTGTTATATTCAGCTACAATGCCAAAGAAAATCCAAGATTTTGCAAGATCTGCTTTGGTTAAACCAGTAATTGTAAATGTTGGTAGAGCAGGTGCGGCAAATTTGGATGTAATTCAAGAGGTTGAATATGTTAAACCAGAGGCCAAAATGGTTTATCTTTTAGAATGTCTACAAAAAACGCCGCCTCCGGTAAGAAATTATTCTTTATTATTATGGGATTACATTACATTTATCTGATATTATTATTATTTCGAAACAGGTGCTTGTATTTGCAGAGAATAAACATGACGTTGATGATATCCATGAGTATCTTTTATTGAAAGGTGTTGAAGCTGTGGCAATTCATGGAGGGAAAAGTATGATACCATGTTCATTGTTATTTTACAACAATTATTTTGGCAATCTATTTTTCGTGGCTATATCAATAAAAAATAATTTTTTATAGGTCAAGATGAACGCGAATATGCAATCAGGGCTTTCAAAAGTTATAAAAAAGATGTTTTAGTTGCTTCTGATGTTGTCTCAAAAGGGTTAGATTTTCCTGATATACAACATGTTATTAACTATGATATGCCTAAAGAAATTGAAAATTATGGTACGTGATTTATATATATCTGAATAATAATTTATATATTTCTAAAACGTTTTTTTTATAAAAAAACCAGTACATAGAATTGGTCGTACTGGACGTTCTGGCAAAACAGGAGTTGCTACAACTTTTATCAATATGAATTGTTCAGAACAAATTTTACTTGATTTGAAGCATTTATTAAAAGAAGCTAAACAACGAGTTCCGCCAGTACTTGAGGTTTTAGAAGACCCGACAGAAAAATTCAAAGATTTAACTGGAGGTTGTAGTTTTTGTGGTGGACTTGGACATCGTATCACCGATTGTCCAAAATTAGATGCTCAAAGAAAACAACAACTTGGAAATATTAGTCGTGGTGTTGGTGGTGGTGGTGGTGGTGGTAATGGTGAAAGAGGTGGTGGTGAATATTAATTGGCTGATAACTTTAATGTTGTTGTTATTATGCTATTTCATCGTTACAATAATTATTTTAAATAATCTAAAATTAATGTTATGATTAAGTAAACGCTTGATCAATACCTGATCTGTTTTTCCATTTATCTCAGTGTGGTATTTATTCTAGATGATTCAGTTTGTCTTGAGACTTTCCTTAACTGGAAGAGAGTTACATAACTATACAACTCGTTTTGAGCTGCGTAAAGCGTTGAATTTTTTTAAAATTTTTACAAAACTAATTAAAAGCGTTGTATAGAGATACTTGATATTAAATAAATATCAAGCATTTAGCATTTAATATTAAATAGCTGAAAACAAATATTTTATTAATTCACAATTTTTTTGGGAAGCATGGATTAAAAAAAAAGGTGACTAGTGACGTAATTTGCTTTAGTGAGTAAACAAGGGTTTAGTACTAACGTTGGTTAACCAGTGGGTGTTTACAACGGTTAGTGAAGTATTGTCCAAAGGTTAATAGGAAATACTAGTGTAAACGTAAGGCCGTTAACAAGTTGTTTAAATGTTTGCAATCGGCCAATAAATATAAACAAGAGTAAACAACTGAAATAGGAACTTTATAAAAACCCTTGAGTTTTGTAAAAGTGCCATATTTATTTATTTACAGTTACCCGGAAAATTTATCTATTTTTTTTTAAAACGTCAGGGTTGAAAAAAGAAGCAGATGCTTGGCTGGAAATCGTGTTTCACTTTAGATGTTTCTGTGCAGCCTACCATTAGGTATTCGTCTTGCTCTGACATTTCAGATCGTTTGAAATAACCAAAAACTGATGGTCTTGTCTTGGGAACTTTTGCTTCGAATCGTCAAAAGACTTGTTACACAACGTGTTGGTATTAATATTGGGTCATGCGACCGGGATTCAAAAAGGCCTTTTCATATTGTCAATTTTAGTGATCGGTAAATATGTACTGTATTTTATTGTTATATTTATCAATTATGTCATTTATTATCATTAAATAATTCGTGATTTGTTATCTCATCATTAAATAATTCGCAATTTGTTATCTCATCATTAAATAATTCACGATTTATTATCTCATCATTAAATAATTCATGATTTATTATGTTCAAAAATATGTATAAAAAGGGTAGATTTCCCAACCCTCTGAATTTCTAGATAAAAAATAAAATAAAATAACCAATTTATAATTATGGAAGGAACATCCAGTAGATTTGGAAGCAAGAAAGGAAGAAAACTAGTTGCACTTACTAATATTCAAAAAAAGAATTATGTGAATATAAGATTGCCAATTCAAACAAAACATATGAAGAAATTGGTAAATCAACTGTAGGAGATATTATTAGAGATAAGGAGAAATGGCTTGCAGTTACTGAGAGCTCAGCTGCTACTAAATAAGATCATGGAGGTGAATGGCCACAATTGGAAGAAGCATTAGCAATTTGGATTAATAATGCCAATAGAGCCAATTATACCATAACTGGTTCCATCATTTGTCAAAAGGCACTGGATTATGTTAGAAGACTCGAAATTATTGGATTTACAGCCTCACAAGTAAGTATCAATTTTTTGATTATTTTATTTATTAAATTTCGTTTTATTTTAATCATTTTATCTATATATTTAATAGGGATGGCTTACTAATTTTAAAAAAAGAAAAGGTGTAAAAGAACATTACAAAGTGGATGAAGCAGCAAGTGCACCAATTGATGACTTACCAGAATTTAGAGCTGAATTAAAAAATTTAATTGCAGAATATGGCTTGAATGATGTTTATAATGCTGACAAAACTGCCCTCTATTGTAAGTTAGAACCCAACAAAACTCTCAGTAGTGGTCCTATCACTGGCACAAAAAAACCTAAAGATAGAATTACAATAATGCTTGCATGTAATGCAA